CCCCAAAACCCCAAAACCCCAAAACCCCAAAACCCCTCCAGGTTGAACTGGATTGAAGCAATTATTATATTAGCCAATCAGAGGAAACCTAGAATATTTGATCCTATTCTAGGCAATCATGTATAAACTAACTCGGTTTAGACTATGAGGCTACTTCTAACTCTTTTAATAGCTCAATTTTGACAAATTGGCTGAACTCGATTCCTGTTGTAAATTGTAGAGAATACGCATCCCTTGGTCTATTGCAGTAGGAGTACTCCCAACTTTTGAGTAGACAAATGAAGTTTAATTTTATCTCTGGAGATTCTAGAATTGATTTTACCATGTCCAACTTTCCTAATTCTTTGGACATCATGAAGATATAAATTTTATTGTAATTATAACAGTGTTGAGGCATGACAAGATTGTCTGTGAGATTCTTTCAACTGTTAGATTCGACTGAATATCATTAATAATTTCAGGAATCTTAGTGCTTACGAATGAACAAATTTTTGAGTTCTTTATGAATCTAGAGGAATGGCATTAGAATACTGTAAACAAGAAGCTGAAAATCAGTGAAGACTTAGAAAGTAAGAAGAAATCCTTTAGATATAATTTTAGTGCTATGCTGATCGATGAGGATCTCTCTTACCCTTTATCCGCATTAAACAGTCCTTCCTGACTGGGTTCACTCGCTTGTCACTTAAGCATAGCGAGCAAGATGCTTCTCAAGAATACATTTGAGTCAATAAGATGGCTGAGTCATTTATTAAGAAACTTCTGCATATCGCTTGGACGGATCTGAGCTTCTAGTAAGAGAATGTTTCTTTTATTAAACTTGACTAATTCCCCAAGAATATCTAGGGCTGTCTGTAAGTTCTGGTCGTCTTGAGTCTCTATTGTTAGAATGTCCTGAAGCAAATAATTTAGTTTGAACGAACTATGGATTAGGCTGAGACTTACCGCATGATGAACAGCTGGAAAAATGGATTTGCACATCGTACAAAGGACTCAATACAGGAGGCTTGCCAGTAACGAAGATTTGATGTATTGATACTTGATGAATATGCATTAATAAAGGAAGAAATCACCTTACTAATGAACCCTCGGTTTTCTTTGATATATTAGAAATCCAATTTAAGGTTAGCAAGGTTTTCCTCACAGTAATCCTCTGACTTTTTAAGGTGAGTAGAGGAAGAGAGAACTGAAATATCTATAGCGTATTTGTGTGCTTCTTTATCGATTTCTATGTAGCGATGAAGTAATCATGGCGCTATTTCTTGCTTTAATAAAAGAATTAGTTCATCTCGTGATATTTACTCAAGTTTATTATCTAAGTTAGGTCAATTTCTGGCAAGATAGTTGATTGCAAGTTTGAGGATCTGAACTTTCGTATCTCTTCCGAGTCACGTAGAGTAGTCCATCGTCTTTTGGAGAAGACAGTATAGCTTATTAATGGTAGTGATTATGCCAGATTTTCTTATCCTATCTTGGACTTGATTTTTCTTTGTTCCAAACATTAATTTGTTTAAAATGTAAAGGACTTCAACCATTGATGATTTGCTGATTTTCTTGAGAAACTCGAGATTAGTCAAAGGAGCCAAAAGGTTTTCATTACTTGTCTCATAGTTAGAATTATTGACTGAATTAAGCAGGTTTGCAATATTGGTTAGTGAGAGATTCCCATCATGAGGGTTATCTTCTTCTTCACTAATGCTTTCATCGTTATCTTCATGAATGCTATTTTATTTTAAGAGTATCTAGGTAATCTCCTTTGAATACAAATTCTACTACTTTCTCGTTAGTAATGAACTCTTTTATTTTCTTGGATTTGAGCGTAGTTCAGGAAAATTTTATATCGAAAGCTTCGCTTTGATAATCTGATGAATCGCTTCAGACAAAATTTCCTAGGTAAGAAAAAGGTGGGACATGTGAGTCTTCTTGGTCATCATAGCTGGAAGCTTCTGAAAGAGGAGATGAAGCGGTTCTGGTTAATCCCATGATTCTTGAAACTATTGAATGGTAGTTTTTCAGATTCTTTCAATTATTTTAGAAGGTATTCAACCATATTTTCTATTAGCTCAGGGGCTCTGACTAAGACACCTTCATTAATATCCAAAATTTTGACAGATGGCGAGTATTTTAGAAAAAATTTCTTTGGCTTGTCAAGAATCAAGAATGCAATGACCTTACTAAGTTAACCAAGCTTGTCAATATCTTTCCTTTGATTAATCTTCACTAGCATTCTCCAGAAGTTTGGAATTTTAAAACAGGAAATGCATTGTCTCTGTATTGTAACAAATTTTCTAGGATAAATACAATGTATTTTGAGCATTTTACTACTCTTTCAAGACAAGCGAACAATGAAAGAATAAGGGGGTATAATGACTAGTTCATATTAAGAAGCTAGTATCTTTGTCTAAAAATTACAATATATTCTTACCAACTTTTCATTGACTTTCTAAACATTTTCATCAAGCTTCAATGGCCCTGGTGTTTTTCGGTGGAATAACTTGGAGGATGCTGTCTTTAGATCTTACAGGAATTTGTAGGTCTGTGGAAGCTTCAATATTAGTGTCAAGTTGGAAATCCAAAATCTCGGTTAAGAGAATATACATTCTAAAATTATTAAACTCTGCCCTGCTATTTTTGACTTCTGTTATTCTTGATATCAATATCTCTGGCCATTATGTTAAGATTCTTGATCATCTTATTTTGAATTTTGCTAAGCTTGTGAGATGTAGTACTCTTCTGCTTATTTTAAACATTTATACACAGATTTGTACGCTGATATACACTCAGAATCGTTCTCGTCTTTGGTGAGTAGGACTACTTGTTGGCTAATCTGTGCTCTCAAAGACCTTGTTGTAAGCCTGAATGTGAAAGTGTTTGAACTAGTGATTGTCTCCACTATTTCAATTTAATTATATATTCCTGGGGTTTTGGGGTTTTGGGGTTTTGGGGTTTTGGGG